AAGAAAAAAGAAAGCTGCTTTCATCATCTGGTGGTTGTGGGCTATGGGGTGTGACCTGGTATGTAACTGTTTTGTGTGTTTGGCGAGTCCATGTATCGTGTGTATGTATGTATGTATGTAAGGAAGCAAGTAAGTAAGTAAGTAAGTAAGTAAGTAAGTAAGTAAGTAAGTAAGTAAGTATGTATGTATGTATCTATATATATATCTATATATATATATATGTGTGTGTGTGTGTACAACCTCCTTAGCCGTTTATAGGGCTAGGGAGTCCCTTTCAAGGGAGCCCCGAAAACTCCCGGCTCCTGCGGTGTGGCCCTCCGGTGCGCTAGGGGGGCCCCCCAAAACATACCCCCAGATTCAGACCCCCAGATTCGAGGGTTCTGCGCGACCCCCAGATTGGAGGGTGGGGCGCGAACCCCCAGATTGGAGGGTTCTGCGTGCGCGAACCCCAGATTGGACGGTTCTGCGAGAACCCCAGATGAGCGTGCCCCTGCCCTGACTCAAGCATCAGCAGCATCATTCCCCCCTCCGATTTTCGGAAGGCATTATGGGGCCACACACCCCAAAAGTAAACCCACCTTGCGGTTGTGGTCGTCGTCGTCGTCGCCGTGTGGTTGTTGTGGTTGTTGAGGTGGTGGTTGTTGTTGTTGTTGCTGCTGCTGCTGCGGCTGCTCAAGCTGCTGCTGCTACTGCTACTGCTGCTGCCAGTGAAGCTTATAAGGGCCTTCTGAAACGATGCTGAAGGGATGCCGAAGAACCACAACATCAATAAGCAACCATTAAGCCTTATTAAAGCCTAATAAGCTTCAATAAAGGCTTATTGAAGGCTATTAGCGCCTAATAAGCTTCAATAGGCTCTTATGTTGTTGGAGGCATTTCCCAGGCAATCTGGGGGTCAAAACTTGGGGGGCTCCCCCGGCTGCTTTATGATATTATCACATAGTTAGTACATATATATATATACATATATATATATGTACGTGTATATAGATGTGTATATGTATCTGAGATGTGTTAAATAGTACCTACTATGCGTCATCTGTTATCGATTAGATATTAATTAGTTGTGTCATCTTCAAGAAGAAGAGGAAAGCAAGCAGGGCCCCCTGCAGTCTCCTGAGGCTGCCTCGCTGGTTCATCGCGATCAGCTTCGGGGACTGCACTCTCCTCAGGAAGTGCGTGGGCAGTACCCCATGATACTATCCAAGAGCCAGCATATCAAAGCATGAGCATTCTGACCCCACAGTCCCTCGTCCCTGAACCTCGTAGTCCCTAACTCCTTGTGAAGGATTGTTTGATGCTGAGGTCTGCCTTGTTGCTCTCCCCTGTGCTAGCTGAGCCGGAAAAGTGCCGAACTCACTGCAAGGTGTCATGGTGGTGTGTCGGGTTCTGCATCCTGCACTGTAAGCCTTACACTCCCTCACGCCAAACTCCCTGCGCCCTAAACCCTGAACTGTTGGGCCAAGGCCACAGCCCTACGAGGTGATGTCCAGGATCATGCGTCTGGTAGCGTGGATGCCGGCAGAGGGGCGCAGGGAGCTGCAGGAGGCGCGGAGTCTGGAAGAGCTCTTCGCTTCTGGGGGCGAGGCTTTTGAGAAGTGCCTGCCTCCAGGTCTTGGTCGAGGACTGTTCCGAGGAAGAGGTTCTGCGCAGCGCGATGCTCATGCAGGGTCAGCGGGAGAGGCTGAAATGAGGATTAAAAAGTGCAGAAAACAAAGAGAGACGGAAAGACGGTTCTGTCGACTGCAGGTCTTGTCGGTCGAGTTCGCACCCACTGTGACGAGACCGTCAAACGGGCACACCAAATGTCCGAACCTTGCACCTGGTGGGACGATTCTTGTTCCTAGTTATATGATTCTCCTCGGCACCACTTATTAGTGAAGTGCCACGGGGCGCTTCCGAGCAGCTTTCGCAGATCTCGCCGTGGATGCTACATCGATGGTTGACTGAGGCAGCGGCTCTCTCCAGAAATCTGGGAAGGACTCATGCTTCTCCAGTTGCCCAGACCTTACGACCAGCTGGGATATGTCCTAGCCTTGAACTTGGCTTATACTATATTATGTTATACTTTTTTGTATTGTGCTATATTATGTCAGATGATATCATGTTATATATCTATATATATAATACTATATGACATTGTATTACACTATATTACATTATATACTATTTTATTCTACAGTACCTGTTATATTGTATACTTTAATGTGGTATGTTATATAATTCTGTGTTGAGCTGTCAGCCGGGCTCCTGAGGCTTTGGGGGGCCAATGAGGCCATCGCAACTCGCCTGGCCTCGTCGCTTCGCACCTCCGACTGGCCTGTGCTGGCCTCAGCCCATATTCATGCTCGATGTGTTTGGGGTTTAAGGGGCATGATTATCTGATTGTTTACCATTATTATTGTTAATTATGATGATGATTACTATTACTATTTCTGTTTACCAGCCTTTCATGTTGCATCGCAACATACCGTGCGCTTGTTATGCTGTGCTACGCAAGCTATTCTATTCTTACAAACATATGTGTATATCTATACATATACCGGTACAAATACATACATGACACACACGTGTATTAGTTACGTAGTGTGTTTCGAAGAGAGTGATTTCGGTCGTTGGAGCACCGAGGAGCCGGATCTTGGACAAAGCTTGTCGCAGACCCTCTCGCAGCTTGCGGGTGCGAAGGCCGACTGCGTGGTCCTTATACTGTAATAGAGGGGTCTTAATGATAATAGTAGTAATAATAATGACCCTACTAACCAGCAATAATAATAATACGAAAGGATTAGAATAGGCTTTGGGGGTGTATTTTACTCTAGCTGAAACAGGAACACGAAGGGATATCATTGGTAATTGATGTAGGCTTCTCTAGTCTCTTGCAGTCTCGTCGCAGCTTCAGAGGCTTCATAACTCAGAGTTGGAGGCCAGTGTGGCTGGTATAGCCAGATTATAATGGTTTAGGGTTTAGGGTTTAGAACCAAATCTAATTATTCAGGACTCTGTGTCACGGACCCCTAGGCCCTAAACCCTAAACCTTTCAGATCTACTGTGGCGAGGCTGCAGGAGCCACCTCCAACTTGCGCCGCGCCCAGCAGAGCTCCTGCGACCTGCCTGGCCTTCTCCGTCCAGTCTTCGGGTATTTTAATGTCTGTATCATTAATAGACATATATATATATATACATATATGTGTGTGTAGACAGATAGGTAGATGACTTGGGTGAGAGTTGAAATGAATATTAATGTCAACATTAATATTCGCATGCAACTCAAAAGGAAAGTTAGGGGTAGAAGGTGAATACTTCTGCAATCCGGCTTGCTCTGTATGTGCTCTACGACTCTATTCAGGGCTTAGGGGTTTAGGGTTTAGGGGTTTAGGGGTTTAGGGTATGTAAGGGTACCTTTCCGTCGATGCATCCGTGAGGCTGGGACGCTTCACCTTGGCGCCACAGGCTCGGGCTCCGGTGCCGGCTTTCGAGCCGCGGGCTTGGGAAGGGGATCCCTATCAAGGGCTTCAGGGGCCTAGGGGTTTTAGGGCTTAGGGGTTTTAGGGGATTAGGGGTTTGGGGGTTTAGGGCTTTGGGGGGTTAGGGGTTTAGGGGTTTAGAAAGTTTAGGGGTTTAGGGGTTGACGGTTTGGGGGTTTGGGGGTTTAGGGTTTAGGGTGTGAGGGGCGTAAAATACTGAGAATGTTTGCTTTCGCCCCCACCTGCGTGATGGACTTTCAACGCAAGTCGTGGCAGTAAGGAGCCATCGCTCGGCTCGACTGTGGTTGAGCCTGGTAGCCCTCGGGCGGAAGAAGCTGAACTCTGGGATGGCTCTGGCAGATACTGCTGTCATAGGGGTCGGAAGAATTGCCTATAAAGTTCCTTATTGGCTATACCCCCAAAACCCTATCCTAATGATTCGTTCAGGCGCTTCCACGCTAACCGTATAGTGTCTCTTAGAGGAACCTTCGCAGATCCCTTTCTTAAGGAACTCTCTTCGAATCTAGTTCATTCCTGAGGGTTCCTTAGTGGGTTTTTACTCGAAGAATACCCGAAAGCCCGATTCTCATGATTTTTCATGGTGCCTATATGAAACCCGTGTAGATTCCCTTGCGGTAACCTTTATCGATCCCTCGTTCTTGCTCCCTTTAACAGGAGCCCTCTTCTAACCATTAAGCCCTAAGCCCTAAACCCCTAAACCCCTATCGCCGTAAACCCCCTAAACCCCTAATCCCTAAACCTCCTAAACCCCTAGACCCTAACCCCTAACCCCCAAACCCTACCTGCACACTCCATAACCCAATAAAAAGAGGGTTGCTTGGGAAAACCAGGGTTTGCGGATAAGAACCGGGTTCTTGATTTCGGGGCTCTTTGCAGGCTCAAGATAACTTTAGATCAAGATGCTTTCGATGCAAGATGTTTCAACATAGAAACAAGTGTTCGGCGCAAGATGTTGCAACAGGGGAGTATACTGTGCATTAGGAGTGGGCTTAGGATTGAAAACCCTGAACCTTAAACCCCTATAAACCTTATAACCCTTCAAGATTTCCGGCCTTTTCTTGCTGGACGACCTGTGCCACGTCTTCATGGGCTCGACATGCCCGGGTCTGAGACTGCAGCTTGAAGGCTTTGCACAACACACCATTCTAAGTTATTTGATATACGATGCTCTTGATGCAAACGAACTTTGGCCTCAGCTGCTCTTGATGCAAACGAACTTTGGCCTGAGCTGCTTCGGATCAGCTTTTCAGCCAACCATTCTGAAAGAATTTTGCTCGTGATGCTTCAAGTGTTCGGTGCAAAACTCTCAATATGACAGATCTCGTGTGAACCCTCCTTGAAACTCGCGCAGGCCTTCCGATATAATCTTCTTCAACCTGGCAACAGAAAATCATGTTGTTGAGAACGAACTTTGCCACAGCAGCCTGATCCAAAAGCTGAAAGAAGAGATGGTGGAGTCGGTGTAAATTCGGCATGAACTGAAAGAATGGTAGTCGTTGCCGATAGGCTTCTCGAGCACATCTTCCATTCAGTAAAAGAAAACGCATGCCCCGACATCCCAAAGCTTTCGCAGTTTCTGCTTCTATCCAGATTTTCTGTCTGTAGATGCCTGAGAAGAACATGTCGATCTCCCAGGCAGCTTCCCATGTTAGAAACAAAAGAGATCCTCTCGCGATGTTGGCACGTCGCTGCGAACAGCAAAACAAAAACCAGCGCAAAAGGCACAACGTTGTAGAGCCTTTGTGCCAGCCTCCCATAGGCGCCTCCGTGGCGTGGGGCCAGCCGATGGTATCCCTGTTGAACTTTCGAATGTATGGATACTGCTTGTATGTAGTACACCACGCAAATAGATCGGTTTCCATGGCTTTGAATCGTGCTGGAAAGCTCCCACCAGGGAACATGCTTGAAAGGAGGGCGAGCGCTGAAGAAACGAAAATCTTCCCAGCTCCCAGATGAAATCCGTGAAAGTAGTCCTGGCCTGCAAACCCCGCAGGGTCTGCAGGATCGTGGGGGAGCTCCATGAGGATCGGCTTTGTAGTGTAAGCCTCGTCGCGGTTCAGGGTTTGCCGCCATCTCGGTTCGGGGGACTCGAAATCCTCCCAAGGGTACCCGGGCTTATCAGCCCAACAGGCATGACAGATGCCTGTCGGCGATTTTTTGGCAGTGGCCTTCTTCGCAGAATTTCCAAATGTCCGGTTCCATAGGAACGACTTCCCAAGAAGAGGCCAATCTCCTATAATGTTGATTACGCAAAAGTAGTGGGTGTGGCCAGTCAGCGGATTCACGAGCCCTGTTTCAAAAAGCTCTTTCATGTCGGCGACCAAATGTTTCAGCAGCAGCTGGTAGTTGTCCGATCGCTCGTCGTCGTACATTGATCGCGGGAGCACACTAAGAAGCCATCGAGTTGCAGCCGTGTGTCCTGTCCAGTTGAGTTCTTGCTTGTCGTAGGGCTCAACATCATGAACATTGGAGTCAACACCACTCCCCATCCCCAAGACACTGTGGCACGAGAGAATCATCAGAGGGTACTTCTTCTTGGAGCGACCCTCGTCTCCGTGGACGAGGACCGCAGCGGTTCTTTCCAATTGCTGTGTAGTCTTGTTGAAGACAGGGTGCAAAGGAGTGATGGCACGGTATTTCTCCCAAAAACTCCCCCAAATGGTACAACACCTTTGTTCATCTGGCTCCTGCACTCCACACAAGGTGTGCCAGAGATTCCGATCCAAAAAATACCGGCCCCAAGAAGATAACTTTATCACATCAACTTCTTCATCCAACATGACAGGGCTGATCTGCACTGGAAGCATGAGCCCAGTCCGCTGGGTCATTCTATGAAAGTCTCTCTCAGCATTGTGTTCGGTGCAACGAGCAGCAAGCCCTATGGAAGATGAAGCTGCCGCTGGCACTTCTTCAACAGTCGCCCGAGCCGACCGCACCACCGATTTGCAGCTGGCCTTGGCGACGGGGCTGGTGCAGGGAGGGGAAGGCATGCATGTCAACAGCTGGGTCAGCTTGCGCACAAGCACCACTCGAGCACAGCAGATTGTTTTCACGTTTCCCCGAAACATCGCCAGTGGTGACACGGCCCCTGCACACTTCTTCGTGTGAATTTAACAAACTCAAACAAGTCATGTTGGTTTGAATTTGAACGACCTGTACACCACATAAGTCATGTACACAGAAGCTGAGGTCGCTATGTTCGTCTTGACATTGTCGCCGCCGGATCTGATGTTTTTGCATCCAGGCACGTCTCAGCAGCGATTGCAGCATGTATCATGTGCACGAGTAGGGCCAATGCTTCGAAGCCTTTCTGCAGTCCGAGTTGCCTTTGTACTTGTCGATGAGGGCTGCTTCGAGCATTGATGGTGTGCCAGCTTCTTCGGACAAATGCAGGATGCACATGTGCTCCCACTTATGACCTTTCTCCCTTTTGTATCCATAGAGCGAGTTTTCCCATCTCCAGCAAGCATCGTGAGTGAACCCCACTTTGAAGATCATGGGTGCATGAAGATCAAGAAGAATAGTGATGACATGAGATGCGTGAGCCAAGACCCCACCTGCTGTCGTCACTTGAGCTGGCAAATGCCAGTGTATATTGTCATGTTCAGAAACACGTTCAAGATTGTCCTTCAAGTTCGCATCCGAAAGAACACACTCGGACACGTGCTGCTGCCAGGATGTGCTCCATCGGCTTCGGCGAGTCTTTGCAGGCTGGGACACGGGAGCTGTGGAGCTGGTTGTTGGCGGGGTCGGTACCGATGCCGGCACTGTCGGTGCTGGCCATGGGAAGGGCCCTTCTTCAGCCTCAAATAGTCGGGCCATGTAAATAAGGTTTGTGCACATACGACCCTTCCAAGACACATAAACAGCGCAATAGATGTGCAAGCAGGGCACAGATCTGTGGCATGTCAGAAGATCACGGAGCTCGGATTCAGGGCTTTCCATTGCCATGGGGAGACAATCTACTTTAAGATAAACATATACATATATGTATATGTATATACTTATGTAGATGTGTATATGTGTATATGTGAATACATACACACATGCATGATGTAGCTCTAGTGCCACCATACACCTGAAACCTAACATCGACCGAGCACTTGCACTGAGGAGTGTTGCGATAGCATGTGGAGCAGCCAAGATCCAGTCTTGCAAACACTGCCCCTAGCTCTCGCTCAAAGGCTCGGGCACCCTCGCCGACAGCAAGTGAGAACTGCCGAATCGCTGGCCCGGTGCCTGGCATGGCTGAGCAATTCTGAGGTCTTGGGATCGTTGAGGTTTGCGGCTTTGGAACAGATCTCGCTCGGAAGCAAGGAAGTCGGCTTATTTTCAAGCAGTGGCACAGCTTGCATGGATGCCAGAACCTCTCTGATCCCCTGCAGGGTCCTGTAAGATCCAGTGCCACCTGTGTTTGGGTAGCGAAACTAGGAATGTCTTCGAAAACATGTTCGAGTTGTGCTCGCATGAGTCGTTCTACTTAACAGCAGTAAGAAAGGCATCGCGTGTTAAGAGGCCACAACAGTTCATTAAGATGAAAGTTTTTGGGAACTTTAGGGCTTGTGTCCAATAAAATGCAGGCACAACACAAACATGGCTCAGCGAAAGACCAAAGGTGTGGCCATGTCCACACCACGATCCGAACAATCCAACTGTCGCATGTCGCTAGTGAACAGCGCACTATAGAGCTGAAGCGGCGCTGGCATAACTGCATGCAGCGTAATTAACGATCATGCTTACTTCTTCGCAGCGCCCTTGGCCGAGCCTTTCGGCTTGGCCTTTGGTGCCGTGGCACGATCATTCCCACCTGCTGGTTTCGCGTCGTTCTTCGCGTAGAACTTCTTGGCATTCCTTGGTTTGTGGCAAACTATGGAATCAAGCACTCGAACTCTTTCACCAAATGAAGCCCAGCCGCCGCACCTGCAGCTCGGAGGCTGTGGCACGGCTCGACCTGGGAAGGCGGGCTTTCGTTCAGGGTTGAGGACATATAAGGGTGCATGCCTAAGATGCGAGCACGTAAGTCGAAGCCCGGATGATCTTGTCCATGTTTGCCCACCACCTAGACAAACAGGATGTCAGTGATCGGATTGTTGAGGCCACAGTCACTTAAAATGAGGAACGGCCCACAGGCACACTGCCTAGAACGAATGACAACAATAGCAGCAGGCGGCAACAGCAACGACAACAAGAGCAACAGCAACAATCAGCAGCAGCAGCAGCAGCAGCAGCAGCAGCAACAACAACAACACCGACACGAGCACTATCTCCATCAGCTCCACCAGCACCACGGCCAAACACACCCCCACAGCCAAAACAACCACAATATCAAGAGCATCGTTGCTCGATTGGTCATCAATCGTCAGTCTTATCACCAGCAGCAGCAGCAGCAGCATCTTCAAACAATTCATCCGAGCCCGTTGATAAGAGAAGAAGGGGAAAAGGAATATCGAGATCACCAGTAGATGTACAGGCTTCCAGGTCGAACAGCTAATACAGTAACATAGCTTAATGTAAGTATTATAACATATATGCAATTTGCCTGTAGCACCTAGGTAGACTATGACTATTTCCCTGAGTACTACTGTCGTTGACGATAGTTAGTAATTAACTAATTAAACACAACACACTTATAGCAAAGATCTAGCAGAACAGAAAAATAGTGGTGATGCTGATCGGCTGCTGCTCTAATTTCGAAAACAAAGACACAAATTGTAGCAGCTGTTATAACCCTTCTTGGAATTAGAATACCGTAATGCTACAATGAACCTAGAACAGAAACTACAAAGAGCAGCCACAGTGAACTCGCATGTTTGTTCAATGAAGCATAGAGGAGTTGGGTCCCGGACGCTGCGTTGAAGCCTTCGGCCTCGCCTCTGGCCATCTGCTCTGTCAGTTTCCCATGCTCAGCCTCAAGTTTCCGGACATGTTCCTCCAATCCTTCCACAGACCTCGGCTGCTTGTGGGAGCAAGCTTAACAGATGAAGCATTCAAGCAGAATCTAAGGCACCTGGGTACAGGCAGGCAAGGTACTTCTGGCTGTCCTTCGTGTAGTTCTGTTGCAGGTCCTTGACCAGCGCTCGGATCTTCGTGCACTTCGCCAGGAGCGAATCCATGAAGCGCTGAGACGATGCTTTTTGCTGGCCAGGGATTGCAGCTTTAGGGCGATTGCATCAGTTGCATGTACACATGATGAGTTCTGCAGACATGCGGAGATCAGTCATGCAGGCTTGGCACTGAAGCTGTGTGACGTGTTGGCAGCCTCCAGGACCGATTGGCCAACAGCATCGTTTGCCTGGCTTCCGCGAGCCATGACCTTGTCGAGGTCTTGGAACTCGTCAGGCTTGAACTCCAAAGGTTTCGTAGCCTTGGCATCATACACTGAATGGTTTCGGACAGACACAACAGGACATGACAGTAATTGTGCCAAGAACACCTTCGAAGCTTGCCGCTGCTCTTCGGAAATTTCATGCGACTGAGTGTGCACTCCAGTCTCTCGAACGGTAACATAGTATTCCCATTGGCCGTCATATTGATTCCGCCTCCCAGATACGATCGGGCAGTGCAGTGTGAGTTTTTGCTACATGTCGTGGTGTGGGCAAGACATGCAGTGTGCACCGGTGCAAGGCCGGGTCGGCTTCACAGACCTTCTTGGCTCCTGCGACCCTTGTCCTTTGCAGGCAGGGGCTAGCAGATTGCACCACGAAGATTGAGCGGACATTCTCTCTCTCTCTCTCTCTCTCTCTCTCTCTCTCTCTCTCACACGTGAGACCCCGGCGCAGACCATTTGAGGTCGGCTTTCATTTCAGCCTCCGTGTACCATCCCTGATCCTTCTTGACGACAAACTTCTTAAGCTTCTTCACGATCAGCAGCAGCTCAGAGAGGAAGACTTCCTCCACCAGAAAGTATAGGAAACCGAGCATGCACACAGCACAAGTACTTTACAGCTCCCCAAGTCCTTGTCACCGTTGTGCTCGAGGAGCAAATCCTCCATTTCAGCCTTCGCTTTCGTGCCACTGCCCCACCGCTCGCGGACATAATCCGGCACACAAAGGTCCGTTCGTCGTTTTTTGGGAGCGATCATTCGCAGGATTCGAGCACGTGCTGCGTCCCGCAGCAGCTCCTGGCTTCAAACAAGAGCATCTGATGCCTTCTGCGAAAGCAAACAAAACTATCTGTGCTGAGGTTATATCTCAAGCAAGGAACTCTTCGGGTTTTCTCTTTCTTCACTTTCTTGGCAGGCGGCTCCGAGATCGCCTGCTCCGCTTCCTCAGTGTGATCCTGAGCTGTGGAATCCACTTATAGTTTGGGGTGCATGCCTAACATCAGTCAGGGAAAGCAATAAGCTTAAACCCTCAGAGCATGAAACCTTCGTCGTTGCCTGCACTTGAGCGGGAACAACTTGAGCAGGTTGCACGGCACCAGGAGGGGGAGTTGGTTGATTCACATCCTTCAGGTTCTCCTTCAGCTCTTCAGCCTAGGAATTGCAGGAAGCAAAGCAGATGTCTAGGGGTCTAGATTACACGGATCACAAGATAAGCCCGGTAGCAGTTGCAGGGACTGTCGGGGCCTCCTCGTTGGCCTAAGGGCCGAAACACATGCATGCATATGCACACAAACACACCTGGACACACGTACACATTTTACATGCATGCATACATACATACATACATACATACATATACATACACTTGCATAGACAGATAGTTCGGCGACGATACATGCACACATGCATACATGAATACAGTCTGCATACATAAATACATTGCTACATGCACACATGCGTGAGCAGTGGACACATGTGTGCACACAGACATGCACCACATATATAAATACACATGATACCGGTACATGATGTATGTATATGTATGTATATGTATGTATGTGTGTATGTGTGTATGTATGTATGTATGTATGTATGTATGTATGTATCTATGCATCTATGTATGCCTATGTGCACGATCCCAGGGTCCATGCTGGCACGATCTGAAGCAGGCCTCCGAGCTGCAAGCAAAGACCAAGAGCACACAGGCGGCCAAGAGGACGACTAAAGCAGCTTTAAGGCTTTAGGGCTTTATAGGGTTTAGGAGT